TTGTTAATCTGAGGTGGGGCTCATTAATATTAGCGTTTGCGCTCGGGAATCTGAGGCTCATGCTAGGAAATGCCTAATCCGTTTATGAGGCCTGAGATTTATGAAAAATGTATTTGTGAAAAGAGGATTAAAGTTTGCTTGCTTGAAAATGCAGATAGAGGAGAAGGGAGAGAAATGGGAAAAGGGAGACAATTTCAGAATATAAATATGATCTGTAATTTGTATGATATTTATTGACCAGGAATTTTGCACCAGTGAGAGTTCTTATAAAGTTCATAACCTCTTGACCATGATCATGCTGGTGGGTTTCTAAGAATCATGCATCCATTATTGACCAATTATGAATCATCAAGTAATTGATCAAACTAACGATAAGCATCTGAAAGTGACCTTTACATTTGATCAGGGGCATCTTCATTTTGAGCTCATGGGGAATTTATTGATATAAGTTTGCCTTGTGGGTTTTGTAAACTGTCACTTGATTATGTTATTAAACAAGAATCTGACCTCCTAATAGGCAACATATTTGATTACAATGAAGACTTTATTCTCTATTATTTAAACTTGGCATTCAATCATGAGAAAGGACTCTCGGTTATTAATAAGAATAATACCAAGAGAATGTTTCTCCAATTTAAATACTTTTTTATGTTATGTAGTTAAAACATTATTTCATTAATTCCATATCTGTGTACTGTTTCACTTGTTTCATAAATCAGACATAAAGAGATTTCCAAAAGGTTTGAACTCTCTGTGGGGTTTTACCACCAAAATGAATTATTAGAGACTCTCCATGCAGTTGAAAATCCCCCTCTGTCATATTTATGTACAGTTAAGTTTCTTAAATTTCCCAATTCAGACTCCAAAGACAATAAAATTCTTTAAAAATATCTTATCTGATGTGTACCTTTTGTCCTTAATATCTTTTCAGCCTCTCTGGTAGCCATTGCCAGCTTGCAACATCTGTATTATACATGGCACAGGATGGTGATAAAAAAGCAGGCTAACATTTACTCGTGTGAAAACAAAGCGATGCATGTGATGGTATATTTTGTTTATAATGACTGGCCAGTCATTTCAACTGAAGTATTCTATTAAAAATGGAATAAAAACATTGAATCTAAGTTTAAAGACTGGTCAGTAAGAGAGAATTGCTCTTTATCCCAGGAAAATTCATTTTGTCAGGAAAATCCCATGAAAGTAGCCCTTCAGTATTATTTCAGTTTTCCATTGGAAATCTATCTAGTGAAATAGTAACTATGGTTACGCTGGCAGAAAAACATTAGCTCTTCTTTCTTAAAGAAAGTAAGATGACCATATCTGTGAAGGTGAATGAACTAGAGTTTTCTACCATTCTAGTAAAAGTCTTCCACAAGGCAAGTTCAGTGCATGCTGTAAAGATACAAAACTAATTTGTTTACCAAAATGGATGCTAGCCATGAACCAACGTGGGATATAGTGGTTACCATGGCAACCCACTTGAATGTCTCACCTTTCCTCAAGCTGTTGTTTTGAAAAATACCTGAAATTGTATATGGTTGGTTACTACATGGCGTGCCAGTCTCCCGTACATCTCTGTAGAAATGTCAAAGGTAATGTTGTTAATTAGGAATATTTTTCTTTATTTTCTGAGTTAGTTCCCAGTGGAAATGCCTTTATTTTTCTTGCTATTTGAGTAGAAAACAATGTGAGAAGTTGATGTGATGTGCACTCCCTGATAGAACATATTTTGTTTGAGCAAATGAATCAAATTCCATCCAAATCAATGAGAAATTGACTGAAAGGAATTTTAAAATTCCCTATACGTCTGAGGCCTGATCACTTTCTTTTCTTTACAAAAATGAAGAAAGAAATGTCTCTATATATGTTTGTTTGTTGTGTTTGTATGCATTTTTATATACATGAGGAACATGTTGAGGGACATCTTTCTTATTAATCAAGTAATTAGTAGCAATTTTATTCTTCTTTAATTGCTGGCCAAAACATGTTTAACCTTTCCTATCAGCAGGGGTTGTATCAATTGGAGTACTATAGTCTGAAATATGTCCAAAATTTTATACCAAAATTTTAGTCTTTTATGACCGTAGATTATTCAGTGTAGTAGTGCAATTAAAAGAAATGTTTTGATTTTTAATAGAGAGAAAGACGACAAATGTTTCAGACCAATTCTTACTTAATGTAAGTGGATGGTTATGAATCTATCTTAAACCAAATTAGACCAAAATTTTGGTATTAAAGTTTAGATTAATTTTGGGACTTAAGTTCTCCTGTAGAACATTTCCTATGTGGTCATTTTAACCTTCGACAACAACGCTATTTAATATAGTGCTTGAATTTAGATCAAAGTTGTCTCTCTCTGTTGCTGTGTAACTTAGTGCAAGTGCTTAAGTAGTGTCGGAGTTTGGTGTAAATACAACATAGGATACTACAGCAATACTACAAGATGCTGCGATTAGAAAAATTACCTGTCTCATGCTGCTTTAACAAACTTAAAACAGAATTTGAAGCTGTCAGTATATTTTTGAAAGTTTTTAAAGGCATTGTCTATTAAATTGGAGCAAAATATTTATTTGTGAATTTTGTCACTTTGAAGACATCTGTGACAGTCTATACTTGTAATTTAAAGGAACACGTTTAACACAACTTTGTAGCCTGTATTTGTTGCAGATATTTTTAAGTAGATTTTTTAAAAATTGAAAACATTTCATTTTAGTATGATCATAATAGCATTTGAAGCCTGTGGTTGATTATCTGGCTCTGTTCTTGTGCATTTGAATGCAAGAAGTATGTTTGGATAACTGATAACTATGAGACTATCCTGATATCCTCCACTGTTGTTTTTAACATGTAGTTTGAACAGGGATTAACTGACATAGCTTTTCACATTGAAGTCTAAATTCTTCTTGGCCCGGCATCAGAAAGCTGATGTGTCCATCATGGAGTTAATCAGCATGCACCATTACCTTGAGCAGAGTGGGCAGAAATTGAAAAGTGATAGCTCATGGAGGCGCTTTCTTTTACGCATGCCACAGGGATACAGATAAACCCCATCAATTTACCAATTTGTTTGAAGAAATGATATGGGTAAGCATAGCTATGTTCAACATGGTAATATTATCATGTCACCTAGAACCATACAGGTTTTCATAAATGTCTTTGTATGTCTGATAATTAATTGCCTGCTTTAAATTTTCATTACAACTCTCGCCTTTTTTCGGAGCAGGGATGTTTTTGTTATAAATAAGTTATATAGGTTCTAAGGATTTTCTGGGAGTTTGAACTGTCTGCCACCCCTTGAAGTATGCTTCAAATGCAGCTTGGGAAATGGAAGAATTCAGCGAGTTAGGTTAACATTTTCCTGTCATTATTCCATCAACAAGTTGTTCCTCACTTTCTTACAGACCCTTGATAGTTTAAGAGGTAAATAAGGCAGCGAAACATGGTAACTTCTCTGAAAAAACTGCCTGAAATATGGTATTTCTTGTATTCATTTTGGCCGCCCTCGCACATACCATAAACATAGAGTGATTCTGTTTTGGTTGGCATGATGTCATTACTTAATGTGAACACCACCTGCTGTGGTCTATGTATGATAAATTGTAATCAGCTTTCCCTATGCCATGTGAATAAACCCATTCGGATGAATTCCACCTCGTCTTAACAATGGATTGTGTAAATGCAACATAATATTTTATTGTAATTCAGTTTCTCACATAGCAATTTATGACTCCATAGATGTTGGTCTATAATGAGATTCTGGGAATCTATAGACCTGTAGTTTCTTTTAGAACCAAAATTTCTACGATCCCAGCAGGCTTGTGGGGTTTGGGGGCATGCCCCCCCAGGAAGATTTTTTAAGTAGTGCATGCATTCAGGTGAATTTTGACCACAAATATTATGGTTTATTTCTCCTAAAAAACTTATTAGACTGCCAGGGCATGAAAAATAAAAAACATGGACAAATTTCATAGACCATTTCATATTTTTATAAATTTGTCTATCGGACCAATGCTTATGTTGCACAGTGTTGTATTTTTCATCCAAGAGAAGATAATGATAAAATGTCATCCTGTTTGTTTGTCATGACTTCTGTGTTGAATGACACTTGTTTTGGATTGTTGAGATGTTTTTTTTAAGGTATTGGGGGCCATGTTTTACATGCCAGAATGTTGCTGCCTTTTATTGTTTTTCTTAATGAAATGTTTGTGATTGTTGTATTTTCTTTGTGTCAAATTGGTTTAATAAACATTTTGTATTCTAACAAAAACAATTATAGACTTAGTTGATGGTTGTTATTGAGACACACAGAGAATGTGACTTAATTTTTATGTACAGACACTGTACTCTGTAGGTGAACCTGCATTTAAAAGGGATTTAGATTGCAAGTTTCATATTTTTCAATGCAAAAGAGAAAGAACAAAGACATTGACAACATGGAAATAGTTTTCATTTATATAGCAGGTACTACTGTAATTGGGTTGATTGAAGAAACACTTTTACTACGTTGGTGAGGCACAAATGTAGTGTTATATTTGCATAATTTTGACTTGCTGTATTATTTAAATAAACTCCAATATGGAAAGAAATCAACAATAATCAAAAGGCAATATTAAACAGTCACTCAAATGCTACGCAAAATGTGTGTTACATGTACCAATGTTACTCAAATGCTCACTTTTTATGGTGGAATGACCCATGTATATTCTTCTAAGATGAGGGTTATGTCTTTGCTGCACAATACTAGGAATCTACATGTTTCTTCATGAAGTAGTCACAGCAAATTTCTGAGTTTGCCCTGAAAAGAAAAATAATAAAAATGGCATGAATGTTTAAGGATGGGTGCATGCATGTACAGTGGCATCCAATTCTTTTCTTCCAACATACAACCTTTTTTACAGCCTTCTCTTAGCATCTATGTAGTTAAATGAAAATTTTATTTTATTTTTTACTTAAATATATAAATACTATGAATGCCTATTTTGTATTTGGTCTCTTTTTAGATTCTGCTGGTGTTTGGGAAGGATGACGGGCAGAGCGATAGCTTCTGGTTTGCAGCAGACAAAGCCGGATATAAATGCAACCTCGCTCGTAACTCGGAGACCGCCTTGGACATCTTTCTGGACAAACACCCAGATGTCGTAGTTATCGATCATAGACATTCCAAGCACTTTGATGCAGAGACCTTATGCAGGTATACTCAGTCCCATTATCAGTACATAAATAGTATTGCTTTTATGTAGAAGGTTTTACTAATGAGTACAAAAACATTAAAGGGGAATAGAAAAAGACTGATTTAGCTGAAAAAAAATGTTGGCACATTTCATGTGAAATATGTATTTCCAAAATAATGGTTACTTTCCATAACAGTTATATTTTCAGCTCTCATATCCCCCATAAACATAAGAAAAAGACATTTTTAGGGATGCACAAGTTTGCTGCAGTTTAAACTAGAATAATACTGATTGACCAATGCTGAAATATTCTTAAAATGATATTATCATTATTCAGAAACTCTAGAAATCTGATCGACCTCACTATACAAACAGCACCATTGACTGGTTGCTGGACTGTTGGTCATGCCTTCTTGTAATTGCCCAGGTGTGAAATAGATTTGATGACTGGAAATGAGAAAACCAGCAGTGTATTGAACTCCACTTTAACTACCAGCTTGTACTAAGATGGTATTTCCATCTTATATTATCTTATGTGCATTCATATACAACGTACAGTGAAGTTGTTCATCTTTTGTTAGTTGTTTTCTGCCCCAGATTCAAGTATATTAGTCCTGTCATGGTTTAATAAAGTTGACTATTTTCTTTGTAATCATTTTGATAATGCTTTATAGCAGGTTTTGGCGTTCATTATGCAAACATCAGAGACTGTAACATATACAATAAAGGTGATGTTTTGGGGTGAAAACAGTATGTTAGATTTTTTTTCTGTAAATGTGCAAATGTTTGCCAAAACATATATCATTTATGTATAAGGTTGTGGTGTTTCTGGAATGTTGATACCAAAATAAGGTATACATCTATGATATGCAGGACTGATAAAGTACCATTCATGACATTTCAAAGAAAATTCATTTTGAAAATCTGCATTGAATTAGTCTTTTTGGCATGCTTCAAGATAAAGCAATACCTCTACTTGCCCCCTCTTAAAAAATTACAATAATAAATAAAAAAAGAAATAAAAAAAATAGAAATTGAATTTTTATTAATAAATGAATTGGAGAAAATGAAAAAAAAGAAAAACAGCAATTGAATTTTTCTCAATATATGAATAAGGTGAAAATAAAAAACATGTTAGAATTCTGCAGTTTCGACTGAGTGGAGATAAATTGGTAGAAGCATTTCTGTTGGCAGTGAGTGATGTGTAGATGTAGGTAGGAAGGTGTGTGCAGGAGCAGTGATAAAGGGGGACTCCTGCATGCTTTCATGCCCTCTGTGCTGAGAGATGGGCTACACCTGGAAAGATGGCTAACAGGAAGGCACAATTTACCTGATAGTGACAGTTGCTTTAAATTATCACAACAAATTGCTTTATAATATGACCTTACTAGGGGCTATCGTAGTTACTGGGAGCTTTTGCTTGTTACATGTACCATGTGTAAGCATAATAGCTTGACTGTATTTTTGTTGAAACCCATGATCATGATTCCTTTTTCTCTGTGCATGTTGACCTTTTGATGATACTGATGTATTATGATTATGCCCATTTGACTTAGGGCCCTGCTTGTTTGGGGCTAGTTCCATGTGCTAGTTTTGAAATGTTATAAAGTTTTGATACAACCGATCTTTCCTCTGAAACCTATGTGAAATATGCTATATTTGGTCTAACAGTCAGTGCTTTGGGGCTAGTTACATGTACCACCTTAAAGTGATTTTGATAAAATGCAGCTTTGTAATGTATTTATTAAATCCCTTCACAACATACTATATACTATTTTATTTTCAGGTCTATTAGAGCAACCAAAGCCAGTAAATACACAATACTTATAGCTGTTACCAAAAAGACGTGAGTGAGATAATTTTCCATTCCCACAGCTTGTTGTCTCTCCTGATCATAATTAAGACCCTAGATATGAGGGAAATTTCAGTGGGCAGAAAATATGAATTGTATAAATATATGATAATTATTCTAATGGTTTAATGGAAACTTATTTCTTCCTATTTTTCACAATAAAATGTTAGAAACGGGAGAATATATTGTTAAAAGATGATGGTACATGAGAATTTATTTGACATCCGTAAGTAGCTTTGTCATTATAAAGATATTAACATTGGTATGGGGGAAATTATTTCAAGAAATAAATATTCATGATTGCATATTATAGTTAAATAATTTCATTCAAGACAAACAGAATGATTTGTTTTCTCTTATCCTTCAGTTCTTCAGACAGAGAAGAAGCACCAATCTTACCTCTTTTACAAGCAGGATTCAATAGGGTGAGTCTATTAGTACATTCAGAGAGAAGTCTTGGATCAGAATTGTCACCCTGAGTCTCGGAACTTGTGAGTCTCCTCTACATCAACATTATGTTGTCACAATACACAGTTTTGTTGAGTTGACCCATAGGTTGAAATTATTGGATATCTTCATTTTCTTGTCCATATTTCTGTCACTGGCATCCCAGGTATTTGACAGGGTACACCTTCAAAAGTAGATGGTTTTTTTCATATTTATTTTTTATTTGTAAAACATACAAGATGTTTTCAATATTAGTTTTAAAAAGGTATAAAAGTTACGTATAAGTTATCGTAGTATGTCTCTGTGATTGTGTAGAGAAAAAAATATTACTCAGCTGACATGTTAAGTATCAGCAACTTTACATTCCAACAGTTACTGTATGTGAATGTCTTCATTCAGACACAAATCTCTGCATATCTTGTCATTGCTATTGCCATTTAGTAGCCTTCTGTAAAAATTAAACCACAATTGCAAATTCTTGTATAGATTGCGTAGGAAAGTAACATGAGAAAACTATACATGCATGGCTCTACCATTGAAAAACATCCCTTTAACTCAAGTAGATATGCTGATACTTTTTTTGCTTTGTTTCCAGCGTTTTATAGAAAACCATAATGTAGGCACATGTTTGAATGAGTTGGTCTCCATAGAACATGGCGAGTTACGATCCCAGCTTAAATTACGTGCATGCGATGCATTATTCGCAGCATTAGAACACAGCAGTGATGCTATTGAAATCACCAGCAAGGACCATATTGTACAGGTAATTAGTACACAGCAGGTATTTTAACGTTGACATTGCTAAATGATTGAGTGATTGAATACCAGCTTGATGATATTTCTTACAGGGGGAAAAACTAATAGTTTCTGTTTTATTCAGTGTGGTATATCAATGCAGTTAAAGAAAGTAAGTCAATAATGTAATGATGAGAATGGATGTATAGGTTTTCAAAAGCCTGCTATTTGTGATACTGTTACAGAGACCATAATTGGATAGGGAAGGTTCGCTGAAACTCAAGAATGCCTACATTCAATAATTTACATTTATACTAGTACTCAAATAATTATAGGAAAAAAATGCTTAAACTCAAGGACAGATGTGCACAAATAGTTTGGTTCAACTGAATACAGACGATTGCTTCAAAATGTTTGAATGCTTTTGAGATATATGCATGTATGCCAGTTGTAATTACCAGTTTGGAATTAAAAAAAATGAATAAACAAAATAAAGATAAACAATAACATAAGATGCACTTTATAATGTATTTACAGTATGTGAACCCTGCCTATGAGAGCATGCTTGGTTATACCTTAGATGAGCTTCTCGGGAAAGATATCCGGAAGCTGCCTAATTGTGAGAAGAACAACGCTGAGCACCAAGAGAATGTGTTTGCTCAGTTAAAGAAAGGGAAGGTATGCAGCACCTGGTTATTTACAATGTATGATACTGAAATTGTGTGAAAATTATTTTTATTTTTGAATTGATAAAAAGAAAATTATTGGTATTAGGAAGTGATCTAGAGCTGCTATTATGTTGTATCAAATTCTAAAATAACAACTTGATTTTATTTTGTAAAATGCATGTGCCTTATATTTACAAGTTGTTTTAGTATTGGCTTAAAATATCAAAAATTTGGTTTTACGCATTTTTTTCCATTTAATTTATCTTATAACATTTAATGTGCGGCCTTACAAATTTCCTTGTATTTTCACTTTAAGTGATGATTTTGTAATAAAACTATTACAAATTAGATTTCATATGATATCTGCCCAATACTGTTGTATTTTACTTACAAATACTTATTTTTAAATAATACAATTCCTGAACATTTTCTAGTCTTGGGAAGGCACATGTTATGCAAAGAAGAAGACTGGAGAGAGCCTGTGTCACCACTGTCACATTCTTCCAGTTGAAGGTGGAGGAGGGTAAGATGTTTTTCAGATTTTCCTGGGGACTTAATTCTTTTATGCACATTTTTCCTATAAAGATCTGAAAGGCTGTGTTCACTTGAATCCTACTGAAACTAGACTTTTCAAGCCCATTGATGTTGTGAAGATGAATAGACCTAGAGATATCTAGACCTTGATTGATTATTACAAATTAACAGACATTGAAATATGACCTCTGTTCTCAAAAATAAAATGGTCATTGCATCCCTTGTATTTAACTTTGTCACAAAATGAGAAGCAGAATTTGAGTTTGATATCTTTTCATGTTCTAAAACAGGACTTTTGATAAAATCTTATTGCTCAACTGATTGGTTGTAGGATGCTGGATTTTTAACGGGAAATATATTTAAATATATGTACATGTATATTTCTTTTATTATTTCAGAAAAATCCGGCATTATGTAGCAATACGCAACCCAGCCCCTGAAAACTGCCAGTTAGATAGGTACCACAGGGACTGTGAACACTCTGGTAATGTACAGGGCTAGATAATCCAGTGAAATTGTAATATGACTAACTTTAACATATGGGAAGATAGATAATGATTTTGAAAATTACAGTTTATTTATGTGGATTGTCAACTGTTTGGTTAAGATCTTACAGAAGACTTCTGAATCTGATTGGTTTGTGGTCCAGGTGTGTGTTTGTGTTAGGGTTTGTACATTAAAAATTTTTCTAGTTATTTTTGGCATTTGAAAAAGCTAAGAGAGAAAAATAAAATATGGATCATTTAGAATATTTCAGTGAATTAGCTTAATTAATTCTTGTTCTCTTGTCAGACCACCACAGTTCTAAGCCCCATGATTACCGATCTCAGCGGAAAGGATCCTGTGATATGAGATCAATATCCAGCTCAGATGGTCAGTATATATAAACTGAAAACTTAAGCCACCACAATGTAAATAAATAATGTTAAATTTGTACATGCCAAACCATCCAGTGTTGTGTATATACTCAGAGGATTCAGAGAACTAACAAAGAGCGCAATCAGAACAGATGATCCGCAGACTAACTAATCCACTGACAAAATATGGCTGGTCCTGCTTAAAATCAAACCCTTAAATACCCCTTGGACATATTATTATGTCCAAAAATACCCTTATGGTTTCCCTCCCTTCACATGTGCCATTAAGCGGATTAAATCTTGGCTCCGAGGTTTTATTTTTAGACCCCTGCAGCGTTGGCAGGTGTGGAGGCAAAGAGACCATCAGGGGATTAGGGGCATTGCTTTTAAGTTGGTTGGCCATATTTAGTCCACAGATCAGTTTGTTCTGAATGCGCTCAAGGACTTACCTCCTTACTACTAGAGTGTACATTTTTTTCTCTATGTGATCTACTGTACTTAATAGAAAACATACATTTGTTAGTATGGAGGATGGCCTGTGAAAACTTTGAAACGCATGTTGCAGATCGGTGATTTTAAGTGATTTTCTTAAGCATTGGGAATGGGATCTTGGAGTGTTTAATGTGAAGTCAGTCAAAAAACCATTACTTCATGACTTGAACCAATGGGTCTCTTGATGCCATGTAGTCAGTGTTCTCTATTTTTTGTGGAAATGCATGTGGGAAGACAATTTTGAGTTGGAGAGGAGTTACTGATTACGGTAATTCTCCAATCTATACGAACGCCGCAATAATTACGAACGAAACGTTTTTTCTCTGAATCTGAATTTTTTGTCTCCGTTCTGTACGAACGATCGCTAAACTCACCTTGGGCACAATTTAAATTTTCCGAACGCAAGAAAGTGTGCCCAATTGAAATTCGCCCCATGATTCGTCAAAGCGAGTTTTTAGACCACCGTTCTAAACAAAGGAAGTGCCACTTGACAGGAGAGATTGTTATCATGTATTTGTGCTGTTTTTGAATGAGACGATAGAAGGACTCAACCTGCCCGCCGGCAGCTGCAGGCCAGTTTTAAAACCCTATTGTTATTTAGAAATTATTGAAAGCATCAGTACACATAAATTACTTACTGTTTATTATCATTTCTTAACTTCTGCCGGCCGACTAGATCATCAACATCCACCATCGGTGTTTCACCGATATCTGGTTTCCAGTAAAATCTATAAACGTGAAACCCCACGCACAACAGAAGAGTATGAGAAATCCATAGTCAATGATCGAGTTTTTTATTTGTTTTTGGTAGTCATTCGGAAATTAATTTTTTTAAGAGAAGTTCCTTCTTGTATTGTACTGTATTTATTTTTCTAATTTGAGTTGTGATAAAGTTCATGCTTTTTTTGTTTGTTTGTTTGTTTTTCCTTGTTAAAGACCTTGTCAACAACTATTAGGTAAACCTTACTGATATTGGTGATTGTGAAAAATAAAGGTGCCGTATGACTTTATACAAATTTGCCTGCAGTTTTCTGTATTTTTTCTAATTAAGTTTACATTGATTGCGTGCAAATTAATATTCTGTAAAAGACTTTCATAAATAGACGTGAATTGAGCTGATGTTATTTTTTATATCAAGTATAATCTCTATTAACATCAGTGATATCTACTGTGAGGAGTTTCAAGTATTTTGTTTTGGCGGAAGAAATTTATGTAAGCCTAATGGGGGGTGACATTATTAATATTGCAAATTTTCTATATGTGAAATCATATTAAAAGTAAACACGCAATGAATAAAATATGCAACTGGATTCGCAAATATTCTTGTCTGTTTTTGACAGAAGTTGGGAAAAACGATGTTGTCCTGTCTTGGTAAAACATAACAGGGAAAAACGATGTTGTCTTGTCTTGGGAGAAATGTAACTCTTTAGTATGAAGAAATTGTTGAATTCCCGACTTTTGTTTAGTTTGTTTTTATTCATTGCAATATCGCAAGAATAATTTGTTTGTGCTAAAAGCTGATCACAGTGATTTAATCTGAAAGTAATGCTTACACTTAGCAATGTTAGGTAAGTGGAAATAACTTCCGGTACAGCCGTATTCCATTCGTATTTCAATGGATACGAACGCGTGGCAATTTTTAGCAGACTGAATTTCAAGCCTTACGAACAAAACGATTATCTTCCAAAAATAATTAATTTAAATCGTTCGTATAGATTGGAGAATTACCGTAGTAAATCATTTTGAGTCTTTCAGCTGTTACATGTACTATTAGTTTTCACTTTTAAAAGTTTCACCAAATGAACCAACATCCCAAATCCAAATTAGCTGACACTCATGTCCCACTAATGATCAACTTGTATGTATCACTATGTTGGGTGATAGACCTTGTTTATCAGTCTTCTGACTGAATTATCAAACATTCATACCATATGCTGGTTGTAGCTTTGCCTTCCCATTTTGTTCTGAATACATTATGTTGTATATTTTCCACTTTCTGTGTGCTATTCATTGTGACAGCTCTCGTACTTTTTTTGCAATTGATAAAATTTGATATTAGTACACCTTAATTTTTTAAAATTATATTATGTCAAGGGAACATTTTGTGTTCTTTGATTAAACTGAGAGCTGTGTACTGATAGAACACAGTTAAGATATGCAACACACACACACACATACCTAAAACTTAGGAAAAATTAAAATGTTGAAAGAAATATATGAAAATATTGAAAATATGATTCACTAGTAGTGTAACTATATTTCATTGTATATGTATGTTTTGATTGATGAAGTTCTTAATCTTTCGATCACCAAAACTCCTGTTTATATATGAATGTACCTTTCATTATGTCATCTTAAGTTAACCATCTTTCATCTCACCTTCCTCTTTTAGTGTGTCATCTTGCAGATTTGTTTTGGCCTCCAGGTAATTGGGTCATGTTGATTTGTGTGTGGTTTTTCTATTGGCACTGGTTTGTTTGACATGACACCTTTCTACTCCAAGCCTGTAGCCAGGGGGTCGGGGAGGGGGGGTTTGAACAAAGTGCCCTTTTTGTCCTCTCTGGGTAAAATTTGATCTAGATGCACACAAAAATTTCATGGAAGAAGAAACATGTTAACAAAAAAAAAAGAAAAAAAATCCTTTGAAATTGCTGGCTATGGGGCTGCACTCCTTCACCTTTTAACACAGTTCAGGGACATGCAGTTTGCGATAGACCTTAATATAGCAGAGTTTAAAAAAATGTTCTGGAAATAACAGGAATTTTTACTTTATCACCAAGGTATGCCCTATCCAAAACTGCAGAATTAATTACAATCTGTAAAAGCACTTTTTTAGTTCTGTTATTCAAAGTTTTACCACCAAGAGTGAAATTCATCAGTAGGTATCTCTGTAGCTAGAAACTTTGAACTCTTTCAAACATCATAGTTGTCAAATAGACGGATAGATTATAATGACAATTAAAAGTCATAGGCAGAAATATTAACATGCATACAGTTTTTAAGTGATGAAGAAGCAATTTAATGATGGAAAGACATAAAATGGTTTGTGTCAACGTTGATGCAATGTCACATTATGGTTTACAGCAACATGATCACCAATCTTTAATGAATCTAGTGTTATTGTTGATATTTATCAAATGCTGTTAAGCAGGGCTTGAGATTTCTGGAAATTCACAGACAAAAATTCCAGTATATGAAATAATGAAATGTCCCCAAAAAATTACAAGTTTGTTTAAAAGCTCTATCTAAGTATTGAGAATCAGTTTTTTAAGTTGGAGAATAACGATTATTTCTGTTTTCCTTTTCTGGTGTTAATAAGGGATCGGATGCAGGTTATGGTGACATATGGCATGTCTGTCCGTGAAAACAGTTTATGGATTATAAATCTGCTAACATTTTTTCTAGGATACGGTATACCTCGATGATTAACAAAAAGGTGTTGAAATCTATAGGAAAATGAAGTTTTACTATGTAAAAGTCTAACACTTACTGTGTGCCTTTAAAGACTGTGGTACTGTTGGTAAACATTGACTTGTCAATTGTTAGGATAAGATCTCGTTCTATCATTCGTAGATTTATTCAACCATTTAACCATTCTCCTACTCATTTATTCCTTGATTAGTAACAGAGTTGAAGTGAATTAAAACATTAATGTCAACTTGTGTTTTGCGTTTACAAGTTTGTAGTTATGATGATATCCACCTTGCATGTTAACTGTGCATTCCTGCAGAGATTAATGGAGAAAATGCTTTCTGTCCAAGGATGTGCAAGATTAAGTGCACATTTTGCAGTTTATTAATATACACCGGAAACCGTAATTAAAGAAACTGAGTCCCTCATAATGCTGCTCTCAAAGTGCATTTTGGTTGTGTTTGGTCTGAAAATTCTTTGGCCAGATCACATTATATTGGTGACTTAATATCTTGTGTAGTGTTTTTTTATTGAATACTGTTTTTTTAATTTACTGAAATACTATTTTGATGTTTGTATATGTATACACAGCTGTAGTGTACTGATTTAGACAGTTTATAACACTTTAGGGAAAATAATCAGTATGAAAATTTTTCTTTAGGTTGATCAGTGAGAATTTTTTGCACTGCTTGTCAATACAGCACTATTGATAACCGAATATACCACAAACATACATGATTTAAATACTGTTTTTAACCATATATATATATATATATATATATGTTCATAGTGATTTCTCTTGCAGAATTTATGAATGAAAGAAAAAGCTTATTTGCTTAAACAGAGGATTCCCATACAACGTACTTGCATGTTCTAAAGAGAAAAGAGAATATTTTAAACCACAAAAATTCCAATAATTATTTGTTTGACAAATGTATATCACATCTCATGCAATTTGCAGTGTGTTTGCAACTTTGTTCATCATGATATGGTTAAGTTATGGTTTTGTTATTATTATTATATTTTATTTATTATAATTATTACTTAAGGGGGACATATTCACAGCAGACGACGGGATTCAGCAGCCAGGATTCACTCCATGACAATAGAGGCTCCAATCAATAAGGTAAACTTCTCTTGTTCAATTTTGTCTGTCTCTACAGGTATGTTTCCTTTTCAAATAGTTTACTGTTGTTACTAGTTGGTGTCACATTTTATGTTTCTTTTACATGTAACAGTTGATAAACCTACTGAAGGTCAAAGGCTTATACATGAAGGTTTAATCTGGTCTATTCTTTAGAAATGATCCCTGGAGAGATAAAAGTGCTTAACTTTATAACAGTGATGAGAATAAATCACAGGTGTGATTGAGTTGGCTATTTTAGCACACTACAACTATAATCTTGGACACTTCCCCTCAATAACAAACTTAGAGCTGATTATCTCAATCATTTTGAGGTAAAACATATGAAAATTTAACACCAGCAAAATGGTTGATCTTATATTTCCTCTGGAAATTAGTATCTTAATTAGTAATGTGTGACACTTCCTTTCAGTGAGTGAATTAGAGCTGATGGTCTCAATCATTCAAAAGTAAATAAAATCACCCCCAGACTAAATTTTAACACTGGAAAATGATCTGTTTTATAAGTAGTACAGGAGCAAATAGAGTCATTGGCAAACTTCCGCTTCCCATACACATATAACGTACAATATGCAAGGAAAACATGCATTGACACAGTGTGTGTGTGTGTGTCTGTGTGTAACATTTCCAAAAGACAATCTATTCTTAATGTAGAAATTGCAGAATTATTCAAAAAATCCATCTCATAGCTATAACCTTCTGCCTGGCATACACACGTTTTGAAATCTGTCAAATTTCCTTCACTTTGATTATGCTAGTCTGCTCTCTAGTTGTACAATTATCACTCATTAAACATGATGATTTGTTACCCAGGTGATAAATATCATCAATGCTGCACAAGAAAACAGTCCTCTCACCGTGGTTCAGGCCCTGGATAAAGTCTTGGAAATCCTACGGACGACTGAGCTGTACTCCCCGCATCTTACATCACAGCAAGTCAGGGAGGAGGATCAGATGACTAGCGACTTGGTGGGGGGACTCATGTCGGTCAGTATATCTTAATTTATCCTTATATACATATGTGTGTTTATTTTAGTTTTGTCACAAACTTTTTTACATCCATGGGTTACTGTTGTGGGTTGTATTTGCTTACTACAAGTTGTTGATGTGGTACATATGTTTGATATGTATACAGAATGCTGTCTATTTACATTACTTATTATTATTAATGATTATCATTATCAGAATATTATTGTGGTTAACCTTCATTGTGATAAAGATATTTTTCAGTGTAGTGTCATCAGTTCATTATCTTACAAAGAAAAGGCAATTTCCTGGAAATTTCAGCAATTTTAGCTTTATCACCAAAGTTTGCCCATTTCAAATTGAAGAGAAAACTATGATCTGTAAACCTGTTTTCAATTTTTTTTTTTTTAATTTCTTATTTTTACGTACACAAGTGAAGGTCACCAGTCACCATTTCTGTTATTAAAGTAGCTCAATAATTGGAAAATTGAAATTAAAAAAAATGGTTCATGACACCATGATTTTGTCAACAGTTTAAAGGTATACCCTTGAGATTTAGTGAAAAGGGATAGAATTTCTAGGAAAATAGATATTTTGCTATTTGACAAACACCACTTGTGAAATTTTGAATAATACTAGTATTCGTGCACTAAATGTGATAATTATAAGCTGGGCATGGTTTAAATTTTTTGATGTGGCTAAGCCTATGTACAAAAACCATACCACTGGAAAAAAACATTCACCAAATGAAATGCTTATTTCAGGTGCATGTAAATTTTAATTTATTTTAAAATATGATTGAAATTATCCAGGTATATGGTATACAAAGGCAAAACCATTGTCAGTTAATTCTATTTTCCCTCTGTAAAACAGTGAGTCAGTCTATGTAATGAACAATCCTCAAAGAGCAACATTTTTAATATTTAGATAGGAAATACAGAAAAACCAAACATAAATGAATTTTTTGATAAGGTGAAATTTTTTTGAGGGTGATAGTCAGTAGCATGACATACAATGATAAGTTATATATATATAATCAATACATTGTACATAATCAATGTAGTACATAACAGTTGCAATGAAAGTAATGCACGCTGTTGCTTTTTTTTATTTTGCACGCTTTCACCACTACTCATTTGCTGCATGTTAAACAATGTGGCCTGTCTCTCCATGGTCACTGTGCTTCTTGATGCTTCCCAATGTGCTATAACCTGTGCTCTAAAATGGTTGGGGATTAACCTATTTACAGTCACAAGGCTCTGTAAGATCTGCTGAGCAAGAGGTAGGAATTCTACTGTGATTTTTCTACTACTACTAGTTTGTTTAGGGGTTAATTGAAAAATCATATGATAAACAGATAATTTTTTGTTTTGTTAGAATTGGAAAAGTGTTAAATCTATTGATATTGCTTACAGTATGTCATGGTTTACCTTGCTGTAGTCATGTATGGATCATTTTTTGTGGTACTTGTTTTAAGTACTAGTATTGTAGGCAGGGGGGATGGAATGAACCACCCTTTCTCTAAAGGAAAAATGTCCTCTCTGAATCAAAATTTGAGATAGGTTTATTGTTATTGTTATAAATAGGTTCACTTTTCAGATAAAGAACCTCCACTCCTTTGAAATTGCTGGCTACACAGGCTTGGTTTTATCATGTACCAGCACATATTTTGCATTCACATGTATCAATAGGGCAGTCAGCTCTATATTCTGAAGGTCCACTATTCCGAAGGTTCACTGTTCCAAAAAATGCCCCCCCCCCTCCAAATGTTTTAAAGCTGAATAATTTTTTTCTGACCACTGAAATCTAGTTTCACCATTCTGAAAGTTTTCTATTCTGAAAGGTTGATATTTGTAATGTTTGCTATTTCAAAGACATTATTGTCATGCTGTAGTGTAGAATTAATTGGAAGTCTAATTTTAAGCTTAATCTTTAAAAAATGTTAAAGATTAGCTGTCTTTTGTTACTAAAATTCTACCCACAATACTGTGTAAAAGTCCAGAAAAACAGAGCAATTTGAGTAGGTAATACTCTCTATAATATACTCCAACACAGCAAATTGCCAAATTATAATAAACATATGCTGTTATACTTAATTTCTTGACGGTTAAATGTAACATTCATTCATTCATCTATCACCAAAGAAGTGCACACCAAATTAATGTATATATTTTACATATTTTCTTTACATTATATTTGGATTCTTTCTGCTACTCTTGAGGTGTATTTTAGAATGGAAAACCTTTGGAACAGGGAACTCTTGGAATAGCAGACTTTAGGAATGTTGGACCTTCAGAATTTTATGTTATACATGCTCCCTCAATAGGCATAGGGAATAAATATTTTAATTAATTAAAGCTTAGGGTTTGCATATTGTAATATTTTCAGCAGCAGTCATGAAGTATTTTCTCAAATCAAACATTTGAATAATGCATGAACAATAAATTCTAGAAGAAAAAAAAACAACTTAAAATATCTTTGCTACAGTATATAGCAAAAGAAAGTTATTTTTACTGTCTCATTATTTGTAATTTGTCCAGAAGTTGATGATATCTGTTAGATCTTATTAAATGATAGGAATAAGGCATGGGTGGAAGACACTTAGGCTCTATTCCCATAGATATTAGATCGATCTATCCCCGCAGGGAGTCTCACTAGATTACTTTCAGATAATCCGACCTAAATGTCCGTCCCGCCTACTACAAGCTGTAAGGGGGTAATTAACTTTCGTGTTCGCCCGGCTGACAGCTATTTAGTGTGAACCCCCAGGGAGTTAGGTCGATCTAAAGTAGGTCGATCTAATCTATGGAAATGGGGTGTAACTCCTTATGATATATCCATATTCTCTGTATGTTTAGACACTCTGTGTAAGTAGCCGTAAATTCATGTACTGTAATTTTTGTTTTTGCAGCAAGGAACAACAAAGAGAAGGATGTCATCCACAGATAAATTTAGTGAGTACTGCATCTATTTGATGGACATTTGATAAAAAACCTTTGGCAAATATTTCAAGTCCAGAGTCTTTGGATTGCAAGTGTGTGTACTTTATTTTGAGATACTGATTAAAAAAAAAAATCCCTGTGCCTGTGGTTGCATTTTTATCCTTCAAAAATCTGCAGCCAGGTCTAAGTTTCAGTTTCACAAAAACTTGATCTCTTCTATAAGCAGCAACATTTCATGGATTCAAGAAAAAAAAAAGAACTGATATTTATTAGATTGTAGTAGTTATGACTCCATAACTCGTAGTGCTGGCGAAGTGGTTTCCACACAACAGCATGCAGTCAACCTAGCAGCCAAGTGCTGTACATGCACTTGCTGTGTGACATCATTCCTGATAATCATTAAAAAAAGTACAAACACTGCACAATATATGAAGACGTCTTCAGTCATATAGTAAGGTGTATACATTGCTAACACTGGTATGTGTATGCATTAGATAGGGCTGTGTTATATTCCAGGTCACCACAGTCACATTCCTCAGCAGTTGCCTGCCACAATGCTGTCTCAGGTCCCAGCAGACATCTCCAGACTCCTAGAGACTGAACCCCAGTGGGAGTTCAATATACTGGAACTGGAAAGACTCACTAACAGGAGGTAAGGAATATATTTCTTACAGTATTTACAAAATCACAGTTTCACTTAATTTATCAAATGTTTTTGTGTAATTTTTTTTTCATTATTGATTTTATAATTTATTTATTTGTGTAATTTTTCTTCTTTTTTTAATTTCAGGCCCTTAGCATATTTGGCAATGAAGACATTCACACGGTTCAATGTTTGTGAATTTCTAAATACCAGTGAAACCACCATGTGGAACTGGTTGCAGCTTATTGAAGCCAAATATCACAGCAGCAACAAATATCACAACTCCACACATGCTGCCGATGTCATGCAGTCAACAGCCTACTTCCTGGAAAGACAAAGAATCAAGGTGATTCGATTTTGATAAACACCTACAGAAGATGACATATATACTCTCCCATATTTAAGTCTACATCTGTGACGTGTGTTAAATGTCAGTGGCTGTCCCCTGCACATGATATGTTTGAAATAGTCTAACTGTCATTGAGTTAGAATTTTTGACATAAAAATCTAATAGAATTGTGTAAAATGTCCAATTCAGACCCAATGTAATTTGCCAACTTTTTTGACTCGTGGTAAAAATGTTGCTTGTCCCACACACTGAGCTTTTTTTGTGAACTTGTACAGTATGCCCAATGCACAGCTCAAACCTCTGGAGACGGATGTATAGCTAGCTCAATTTACCTCTTATAGTTCCTGTATTACAGCACATTTAAGATGTGAACTTCATCTTTCATAATATTGTACACTTGTCAACTACACTGCTACCATTGATTAACATTTCAGAGTTTATTTGATCACATGGACGAAGTGGCATCGCTGATTGCCGCAGTGGTCCATGATGTGGATCACCCTGGGAAAACAAATGCCTTCTTAGTCAATGCTGGCAATGACCTGGCACTTGTCTACAATGATCTGTAAGTTCAATACACAAGGGTATTGTAACATGATGCACACATTCATACACACATGAAAAAATAATTTCACATAATTGACACTAAATGTATTATACTTGTAACAGTTTCAATTGATAAGTGTACCAACTTTAACTTGAATAAATAAACCAATCCATTCAGATATAAGTGGGGAGACTTGTGCCTGAGAGATAACAGAAGTTGCAAAATTGAAAAACTAAAATTTTTAAACAATTTGTTGATAATTTGATTTTTTTTACCTCATTGTAGAGCCGTCCTGGAAAGCCACCATGTATCTTTGGCTTTCCGCCTGTCTGCACAGAATGATGACGTCAATATATTTAAGAACTTGGAGAGGTAGGATTTCACTTGAAAAGGGATAGAGCCAAATCTAATAATGTAACAAAAGAGCGCAGCTAATGATGATGAGACCTTTACAACAGCTTGTTCATTTGCTTGAAAGATATAGATTGCTTCTGACTTTATCAAGCCCTGGATTGAAGTAAGATCAAATTTAATATATACATTTAGATAAAGGCTAAATATGTTAACAGCTAGGTTAAAATGTAGAGCTTTTTCATTTTGTTTATTATATTTATTTATTTATTTATTTATTTATTTATTTATTTATTTATTTATTTATTTATTTATTTCTCTCTATAGAGATGATTTCCGTGCTATGCGCCAGATGATTATTGACATGGTTCTGGCAACTGAACTCACCAAACATTTTGAGCATTTATCAAAGTTTGTAAACTGTACAAAGCATTTTGTGGAAAAAGAAGAGGAGGATTTCTCACTGGTGGGTATATTGATACACAGTATCTTCAGGGAAGACAGCTCTGTCTTCACTATCAGTTTCCTTTGTTTTTTGTGTCATTTTATCAGCCAATGATTTTTTTAATTATGGTGTATTTGTTAGATATAAAGAAATAATGTCTCAGAAATAATAGATTTTGATTATTAACAAGAAAGGGGTTTTATGTTAATGATAATAACCTTACTATTGTTCATGTAGTTACTAATTAGTTTATAAACTACCAACTTGGCTGCAGCACCAAATCATTTCAATGTATATTTTTTAATGAATAAAATGCTCATTTTTGTTTTTCAGAATGGGTCTCAAGATGCTCAAACTACATTATCCTTGCCAGAGAACAAAGCTGTTATCAAGCGTATGATCATCAAATGTTCTGATGTGTCTAACCCAGCCAGGCCATTCTACTTGTGCAAAGAGTGGGCTCTAAGAATAGCAGAAGAATACTTTCAGCAGGTACAAACTTACATTAAAAATATACAAAGTTGACCATCTTGATATGAGTTTTTCTTTTTTTCTTTCTTTCTTTGCCATTAACAGTTAAACTTACAATTCTTGTGTTTTTTCCCATTGAATTATGCCTTTTTCATTATCGTCCTATTTGTGTTGGTAGTTATCGCCTCTCTTTATTCAAAGGTCAACTGACGTTTCTCTGCCATTAAGATATCATTTCCCCTTCACTTTTCTTAGAGACCAGACAAAGGACTATGAATGTGAATACCTATAATATTGCTTTAAGTCAGTCTGGACTGTTTAGTAAAGATAAGAAACAAATGTGATGCATGGACTGCATCTATTTTCAGACTGATGAGGAGAAGTCGCTTGGTCTGCCAGTGGTGATGCCAGTATTTGATAGGAAAACTTGCAGTATACCTAAGTCACAGATTAGTTTTATTGACTTTTTCATAAATGAGATGTTTGAGGCATGGGATGGTGAGTTTATATTGCTGCTTACACTTCCGTGGCAGAAAGTGTGTACTGTAAGAACTCTAATGTTTTTTAATATGTGTGAAATTTTGTAAAAATGTTAGAGACAAATAAGATCAGTTAGTACCAGAGAAGATCTTCAATTCAGAATCTTAGATGAAAAGGGAGGGAGGTACAAGAATTATTTTGTATGATTTAAAACATTATCTTTGTTTTATAATACACCTGCATTATAGGCATGTCATTCAGTTAACTTTTCCCTCCTTTACATATCCTCATATTGATTTTTAAATAATTTCTTGAATTCTATAGACTTTGCTGATGTCCCTGACCTGATTGGGTACCTCCAAGAGAACTACAGGTGTTGGCAGACTCAGCAAAAGGAAGAACAGGACAAACAACAGAAGCAGAGCAGCACAGAACAAGAAGATGGAACAGAAAGTGAACAAACTACAGAAAACGGTGCCAGGGAAGAACAACAGATGAGTAATGGGGATCTGGAATCTACAGGCACAAAGAAAGTTACAATAAAAGACAGAGAGCCAGTGGCACAACAAGAAAGCTTGACAGTAGAAGATGTATCAGAAGAGTTATCTTAGCAGCAATGTACACATGGTCCCACACAGAGTGTGGAAAAAGATGTATTAAAAAAAGATTATGAAAATGTAAAAATGCACTGCATAAGTTCAAATAGTGTTTGTTATGATTGTGACCAGAGGATGGGTCACAGAATTGTGTTCACCATGGTGTCTGTATTAACAGATAGAGATAAAAAAAAATTATGATTATTTTCCGCATCTTACAGATGACGTATCTGTCTGAAATATTCAGTAGATATTGTCTTTTTGACAGTTGTTTTAGTTTGGTGTTATTGCACCATAAATCAAACTTGACGGTTTGAGTGTTGGTACCCCCTGTTGTGTATGCCCCTCAAACGTGTCTTTACTCCCCTTCACCTCATTAGTATATAATGTATCTTGGTCAATGTTAACAAAGTGTTCTGAAATATTTTTACAGGATGCAACTTTTTCAAATTGTCTAATTTTTTTGCCAAAGAGTTAGGCTTACACATCAAATGTTGAAGCACACTGCACAAAATAGAAACTTCTCAGATGTAATCAAAGGGTGTGTGCCTTTCTGTGTCTTATGTTACTGAGCAGGTACGCAACAGACATTCTGAGGCACGAACATGTGTGTGTTAATGGTTTAAATTCTAATGCAAGGCTGTTGCCTGAAATTTGTTCATTCACTGTATGTTGTGATGCAGGTTGTTAGAGGTGTACAGTGAATTATTGGAAAGAAACAAGCAAATGTGTCAAGTCTTAGCCCCTTTCCAAAAACACTTGATATGTAAACATTCTAGTTTGTAGTTTGAGAATGCACAAATGCTTGTTTATCTAGTATTGATTAGGGAGGGGGGTTTAGATGATGAGCATGTTGGTAACAGTGTTGGATTAATGCACATCCTTTTGGAGAGCAAGTAATTTACACACCATAGATGTTTATGATGTTGCACAGGTGGTTTGAATATGATCATTATATGAAACAAATATACATTGCACATTGTTCCTGACATTATTTAGTGGATATGGTAATTACTCATAACATTGAATTACTACTCAAAAGATTCTAAGAAACAAATTCACTGAAAATGTTTCTGTTGGTAATACCAATTCATAAGTTTTGAAAAGCTAGTTGGTTATTTGTCTGGAAGGACATTTTTTAAGTAGCTAAAATGGTTAAACTTGAAATGCACTATAAAAATGAGTGAGGTGGTAAAATTTGAAGTGATTACTGTGACAGGTCAGTATGTTATGGGGAAGGGCACATTGGCAGGGGTGGGAGGGGGGGGGGTACCAGTAGCCTGCATGAATATCCTGTTTACTGGCAATGAAGATGTTGTCATACAAAGGTTTTGTCACATAAAAGCTGTGCTGGCACTGAACGGAGATGTAATTATGGACCTTATTCATCTAGTAATGGAGAACCAGCACGTCTCAACAGGTAGCACATGATGTTTGACTATCAACTTACTCTTGGTTGTGTGGAATTCTGTAGTATAAATTTGATTTTGCTTTAATAGCTACACATACAAGTATGTATAATATCTATTTATTAGTTTAAA